ACAAGTGTGGGAGGCTTCATATGCTGTGTTGGTGGAGGCCCAACTGCTTGGGAGAGCAAGAAGCAGGTTGACCAAGCTTTGAGCTCGGTGGAGTCCGAGTACATGGCACTCTTCCGTGCCGTACGGGAGATTGTGTGGCAGCGGCGTTTGTTGGCTGAATTGGGGGAGGAGCAGCAAGGACCTACCCCACTGTACTGTGACAGCCAGGGTGCCATTGCTCTTGCTAAGAACCCTGTGTTGCATGGACTCACGAAGCACATGAGGGTGAAGTGGCATTGGACGAGGAGCATGGTAACCGCGGGTGAAGTTGAGTTGCGATACGTGAAGACCACGGGGCAGCCGGCTGACATGATGACCAAGAGGCTGGTGGAGCAGCAGCATTGGAAGTGTTGCAAGCTGGCTGGGATGGCTCTGAACTGAGAGAGCAACATATCCTAAGGCCAACAATCCGAGGGGGAGTTTGTTGGTGCAACCCTACGGTTTGCACTCGGCTTGTTGTCCGTGTGCGTGCATGCGTGCGTGCATGGAATGGTATAAGGGCATGAAATAATATATATTTCATGTTTACAATAGTGTGTGTATGATGAAGCATGATTTTGAATGTGTGCGTCGAGTCAATAGCGAGTTATCGCTAGTCGCGTGTCACGTCGTCGTTTGCGTGTCGTGTGCGGTTTTCTATTTTGTCGTGTGTGGAACATTCGGCGTGTCGCAGGTGTGCGCAGCAGACTTCCAAGAACTCAAGGAAGAATTTACCTTGAAGAACCAGAGCCTTGGTTTCAAGATTCAAGTTATTTCGAAGCTCTCCAAAAGGGTAAACTTTAAGATAGTGAGAATAGTTGCATTACTTTGTGTAGTGTAACATTTCTCTTGGTGTAGGCCCTTGTGGAGGGTAGTTTCGAGACCCTTCGTGGTTGGGGACAGTGTGGCACTGTTCCACATCACTGTACCTCGGCTCTTGGGGTTTGTAGGAGCTGGGAGTCATTCCCAACTCGTAACTCTTCCTATCTTGTGTTCTAAGACTATAGTGGCTGCCATAGTACCGTTCGTTCAAACCGACGCTGTGTCGTCAATTCTTTATCAAATCGTGCAATCTAAATTGCTAATTGTAGACGACGTGAAGACGCTCCAGATCCAATTTGAATCAGGTCATTTGCAGCTGTGAGCAGAACGCTATCAACGTTTGAAGCCGCTGTGCAGAAATCCGTCTGTGCTCTCTATCTTTCGTTTTAGGCACATTCAAGCCTATTGTGACTATAACAGGTAGCCTCTCTCACCGCAGCAGCCGCACGAGTGGTACGCTCAGCAGCTCCGCCTTCAGAGTGTCGCTACTGGAGAGGGAGGCCTTGGAGCTGCTCGTACTGGAGGTACTGGAGCTGCCGGAGCTGGTGGTGCTGTTGGTGCTAGTGGTGCTGCCACTACTAATCCTGGAGGTGCTCGTGCTGGAGGTTCTGGAGGTATTCTCTCGCCGTAGCAGTTACGCGAGTGGTACGCTCAGCGCTGCCACCTTTGGATTGGCGCTGCTGGAGCCGGAGGCACTGCGGCTGGAGCCGCTGGAGCTGGAGGTACCGGAGGAGCTGGCACTGCTGGTCTTGGAGGTGCTCGTACAAGAGGTACTGGAGCTGCCAGGGCTGGTGGTGCTGCTGGTGCTGGAGGTGCTGGTGGTGCTGGCACTGCCAGTCCCGGAGGTGCTCATACTGGGGGTGATGGAGCTACTAGGCCTAGGGACCCTAGAGCTGGAGGCGCTGGGGCTGGCGGCCCTGGAGCTGGAGCTGCTGGTCCTGGAGGTGCTAATACTGGAGGTACTGGAGCTGCTGGAGCTGGTGGTGCTACTAGTGCTGGAGCTGCTTGTCCCGGAGGTGCTTATACTGGAGGTACTTGAGCTGCTGGAGTTGGTGGCGCTGCTGGTGCTGGAGGTACTGGAGCTGCTGGTGCTGTGGGCTCTGCAGCTGGAGCCACTAGAGCTGGAGGTGCTGGGGCTGGAGGTGCTGGAGCTAGAGGCGCTGGAGCTGGAGTTTCTTGAGCTATGGGAGGCGCTGGGGCTGCTGGTACTCGTACTGGAGGTGCAGGAGCTGGTGGTCCTAGTGCTGGTGGTACTACACAGCGGCGACTGTTCTTCGCTCCGCCGTCCCCGTCGTCTCTGCCACCGCCTGACTCGGTGCTTCGCCAGGTTCTTAGCCTCCCGTCTTCTACTGGTCTCCCGTTACTGCCAGGCTCCCCACTGCCTGCTCCTTCTCCTTACCCTGAGCAGACAGACTCGTTTACAGTGCATCGTGAGCCTGCCTCTCGTCCTGCCTCGCCTGTTCGCGCTGTTCGCACTGGTCGTCGTGTTCCTCATAAGCGTCCTCCTCCTGTCCCCGGCACGCACACTATGGCACTTCGTCCTTCCTCTGTTCCACTGCGTGTCCCTCTGCCGTCTCCTCCTACGTCCTCTCTTGCTGACGGTCCGGACCCTGAGTCTGACTTAGTTCGTGCTGCCAGGCCTACTGTCACACGTCTCCTAGCCACTGTTGTCACTGACCCTTCCTTTGAGTGCACTGCTGCGTTTGCCCTAGTTGCTGCGCTTGTTGACTTTGCTGCTCGCTGTCGTCTCGACTACGCCGCTAGTCTTGTTGCTGAGTCTGAGTCTGACTGCCCTCCGTCCGTCGAGGTAAGTGTGCTCTTGGCACGGACGTCCTTGAGGACAGGCGGAAGGAGTTCCAGTGTTTTGCAACTGCTGTACCTCATCTCGTGTCCATGCTGATTGCACCTTAGGGAGACCCAGATGCACCAGCCATCCCGACCCCACGCTCTTACGCAGAGGCGATTTCGGGTCCCTACTCCTCTCAGTGGCAGACAACCATGGATGCAGAGATGGCATCCTAGAAGTCCATAGGCACTTACATCGACGTAGTTCCCCCTCATGGGGTGAACATAGTCGATGACATGTGGATTTTCAGGGTGAAGCGGCCGTCAGGTTCTCCGCCTGCCTTCAAGGCTCGTTACGTTGCTAGAGGCTTTAGTCAGCGACAGGGAGTTGACTTCTTTCAGACATTCTTCCCTACCCCGAAGATGACCACTCTTTGGGTGCTGCTGCACGTCGCTGCTCAGCGTGACTACGAGCTTCACTCTCTTGACTTCAGCACAACTTTCTTACAGTGCACTCTGCACGAGGAGATCTGGCTACGCCGCCCACCTGGCTTCACTGGGTCGTTTCCTGCAGGTACCCAGTGGAGCCTCCGGCGGCCAGTCTACGGTCTCCGCCACGTGCCTCGTGAGTGGCACGACACACTGAGGACGACACTTGCGGCTCTAGGGTTTGCTCCTTCAACTGCTGACCCGTCGCTGTTCCTGCGCACCGACACTTCGCTGCCGTCGTTCTACATCTTCATGTACGTCGACGACTTGATTTTTTCTACTGCTGACACTGAGGCACTGACTCTAGTGAAGTCAGAGCTGCATAAGAGACACACGTGCACAGACCTGGGTGAGCTGCGCAGCTATCTTGGCTTGCAGATCACCCGGGACAGAGCACGGCGCACCATCACACTGACTCAGTCACAAATGGTGCAGCAGGTCCTTCAGCACTTCAACTTCACTTGGTCCTCGCCACAGTCCACTCCTCTGCCTACCGGTCACTCGCTCTCAGCTCCACCTTCAGACGAGTCCGTAGAGCCGAGTGGCCCGTATCCAGAGCTTGTGGGCTGCCTCATATACCTGATGACCTGCACTCGACCTGACCTTGCTTACCCTCTCAGCATCCTGGCACGCTATGTTACGCTCGGGAGACACAGACGAGAGCACTGGGAGGCCGTTAAGAGGGTGTTACGTTACTTGCGCAGTACGTCGGGCATGGGGCTTGTGCTTGGAGGACGGAGTCGAGTTGTTCTCACTGGCCACGCTGACGCGTCTTGGGTTGACGACTTGGCTACGCAGCGGTCGTCACAGGGTTACACCTTCAGCCTTGGCTCCGGCTCTGTTTCTTGGCGGTCTACCCGCGCGTCTTCTGTTCTCAGTTTCAGTTGTGGGGCTGAGATCTACGCTGGGGCCATGGCTGCACAGGAGTTACGCTGGCTCACCTACCTGCTGACTGACTTGGGAGAGCGTCCTAGTTCTCCTCCAGTTCTGTACGTAGACAACAAGGCCGTGATTGCCTTGTGTCAGGAGCATAGACTGGAGCACAGGACGAAGCCCATCGCTCTGCGTTACTTCCTTGCTCGAGAGTTGCAGCAGCGTGGTCAGCTTCGTCTTGCTTACGTGGCCTCTCGGGCCAACACTGCTGATATCTTCACCAAGGCACTTCAGCCTTGTGATCATCAGCGTTTCTGTACTGTTTTAGATCTTGTGCCTACTTGGCCTTAGTTGCTCACTTCTTGACTTTGCTTGTACTGTGATCTATATACTAATACCTGCATGCTTACTCTTGCTAGGTAGTGATCACTGTACTGTTTGCTATCTTTTATATAACGCTGCATGTGGACCGGCCTTGTGGCCATTTGCTTGTGCTCAGAGTGTGTGGTAACTTCGTAATCCACCCTGAGCTTTCTTTGTTTTCTTGACTGGTCTTGTGACCGCTGGTTCTCCCCCACTTTGCCTATGGGGGTGTGTCAAAACTGATTTATATGTTTGTAGGCTGTAGAAGGATAGCCTGTATAGAGTACAACACTTTTAGGGTTTGGTACTTGTACTTTGATTCCTTGCTAGTGAACTTATTTCTTGCTCGTTAGTTCTTAACAACCGAAAGTGAGTGTCGGCGGTAGGTTCAACATCAGTAGGTGCAAGTAGAAAACTTTCGACAGAAAGCAAGAGCAATATGAGATTGGTGACTGGTCTATGAAGAAAGAAGTGCAAGAGAGAACCGAGGAGAGTGACTAGGGTTGGGTGGAAGGAGAGCAGTGAGGGCAAGGATGAGGGTAACATGGAAGGGGGAAGTACAGCGGGGAGAGCAAGGAGTGGAAAGGGGGAATAAATTGGGGAGGGCAGGTAGTTAGAAGCGGGATTACAATCTCGCTTATTCCTCACTATCAACCTACCAAGTGCACCTCGCCCCTTTCACTAATCGCCCCCAGAAATCGCCCCTTGCACCTTGCCGCGCTCACCTGCACCGTGGAAAGATTGTCAAACACCTCCTCTTGAATGGCTCTTTCCTCAGCATCCGTTTGCCCCACTGACTCCCTGTCCACATCGCCTGCTCGCCCCTCCCCTGCCCCTTGCTGCCCCTTGCTCTGCCCCTTGGTCTGCCCCTGTGTCCATCCCCTCCCCTCCCTCCACTTTGTTTGCTTGCCCATCCTTCGTGTCTTCCCTTGCTCCTTCCTCTTGCTTGAACCCGAACTCTTCCTCAAACTCTTGCCTTTCCTTCTCAGAAGCCTCAAGCCCGTCTCCGGATCGCCTCGTCCATTCTCTTTGTTGTTTCCTCCACCTCGTCCCTCGTCCCCACCTTCTGCGCCTCCTCCTCCCCCTCTTTGTTCTCTTGTTCCCACTGCTTCTCCCACCCCCTCCTCTTTCTGCTCCCTCATTCTATCCGCATCAGCCTTCCGACCCTCAACCCCGAACGCCAGCCCCCTCACGGCCTGCACCATTGAACGAATCGCCTCCGCATGACCAGACAGAGCTGCCAGATGCTGCCACGTGGATGATCCGACAACGGGGGATAGGGAGGGAACGGGTGTGGGGGGAATGAGGGCGCAAGGTGAGCAGGCAATGTTTTCTTGGCTCGAGTTTGCGAACCTGACTTGCACTAGAGGATAGGAGTCGTCGGTAAGAGGCCTGTTCACCTCATTCCCAGAACCCCTGAGCGAATGGCACGTGCATCAATAGGGAGATTTGCCACACGCTTTAAGTCATGAGGGTATCAGGGCAAGGAGCGAATGGGGGGAGGGATTGTGATGGAGTAATGCAGAGGTTGGGAGCGCAGAAGGAGCTGGGAAATGGGAAGATGCCTACCAGATCCTGTCAGATGGCGCCGGACAGACAGAAACCTTCATGGAGCGGGAGAGAACCAAGGGTGTGGCACATAGAGAGAGGTGGGGTATAAAGAAGGGAGAAAATAAAGCTGGGGTACAGGAAATGAAGGGAGTCAGAGGATGGAGGAAGGGAGTGACACAGGTAGGCAGGTAGAGAGGGAAGGGAGAAGAGAGAAGGGAGGATGCGAAGGCAGGGAAGGCAAGGAAGGGTGGGCGGAAGGGATTAGAGCAAAGGAGTATGAGGGCGATACCGATGAGAGGGACGAACGCAGTTGTAAAGAGTGAGGAAGGCAAGAGTAGAAAGAGGGGGAATTGGGGGAGGGGGAGAGGGTGGGAGGAAAGTGGGAACTGGGAAGAGGGTAACAATGCAGGGTGGGAGTATGCAGGGAGGGGGGAAATTCGGATGGCGTGCAAGGGAGAATAACTTAAAAAAGGTATGCCAGGGAATTACAGGGCATACATGGGGTGGCATAGGTCGCGTGCTCACATCCGCCTTACGGTACGGATGCATAGTATGGTGCATTGGGTTGCATGTGCGACATGCGCAACCCCACGATGAGATGTGGGGAGGGCATGTCATGATGGCATGGCATGGCATGGCATGATGGTATGGCACGGCATGATGGCATGGCATGATGGCATGGCATGGCATGATGGTCTGACGTGGGCGTGGAAATTACGGAGATCACTCACCTCGATCATCATCATCGGATGCGAAGGCGAGCAATCCGCCAAGCCCGCGCGCTTGCGCTCCCCCTCGGCCCGAAACAGCTCCGCTCCCTTAAGCCACTCCTCGCAAAGCACGGCAGCCAGCGACGACATGGCGTCCACCTTGCGCGCAACCCACTCCTCCAGCTCCCCCATCGCCCTCCCGCCCTCCCTCACCACTCCTTCCAGCTGCTCTTCCCGCCGCCTTGCCTCCGCTAAAGCCTTCCGCGCATTCTTTAGTTCGTCCATCCTCTCCCTCTCGCTCCCCGCGGCGTCCCCCGCGTACATCGTGGTGTCCATACGATCGTTATAACTCGTTGCGTCGTTCGCTTTCGCACAGCACGTAGTAACCTCTTCGCGGACTCGTTACCTTACAGAGACCAGCCTTTCGACAAACGGACGGAGTCACTACAGACTGCTTGTTCAACAAGTTGGGAGGGTTGGGCACGGGAGAATTTCGTTTCGCGGATTGCCAGAGAGGAAAGCCGAGAAATGGCGATGGAGCATGCACACGAGGGATAACAATTTTGAGCAGCGCAGCATTCAGGCCAATGCATGCGTGTAAGAGATGAAACAAGGCTGACGCGGACGTATTCCTTGCGCAAGGCAATTTAAGCCGATGAGAGATGAAACGAGGCAGATTGAGTCGTTTCTCGCACGCGAGTGCAAAACAGCGTCGCAGAGGGTGGTGTTCCCTAATAAAGCTGTCACTAATTGACTAGAAACGGCGAGAAGCGCCTAAAGCACGAGAAGTAAAGCGTGTAATAAAAAGCTGCAAATGAGAAGGCGCTTGTGAGATGAGCAATCCGTCAGCACTCGGGTGCTAGTGGTAGGAAAGCTAGGACAGAATGAGGCAGCCTCGGGCGCATTCTATCATTATTGAAAGGCAGAGAGCTTTTGCTGCGCTCAGACTGTAACATCATTACAATAGACAGTCTGGACGGCTGACCGTCCGGAATTTGGAGGGGTAACAGGTTTCGAACAACAAAGTAATCGGTTCAGCATAGCGGACCGTCAAAATAAGAAAAAGTGACATGCTGGGGGGGGGGGGGGGGAACTGTATTTTGCGGCACCGAGACGTTACTATAAATCATCTGAATGTCTCCTCAGGAACAATGGGCAGCCACGCATTGTGGTATGGTCATTGAGCAATCAGCATTTTGAATTCAAAAATTGTGTTTGGCATGCGTTATACCGTATTACCCCGGATAGTAGCGCATAGTTAAGAATTAACAAGCAGGAATGATGTAAACTATCAAGAGAGTTGGTACACGTACAAAATCTAAAGGGGTTGTACCCCATGTTGGCTACCCCACTATAGCCTACCCATTATACCATAGCACATATATAGTTTGATACACCCCCATAGGCAAAGTGGGGGAGAACAAGGGGTCACAAGACCAGTCAAGAAAAGCAATGCAAGCTCAGGGTGGATCACAACATCACCACACACTCCGAGCACAAGCAATAGGGCCACAAGGCCAGTTCACATGCAGAGGTATATATGCAACAACAGTACAGTGATCACTACCAAGCAAGAGTAAACATGCAGGTAGATATAAATAGATCACAGTACAACCAAAGTTTACAGCAAGTGAGGAAACGTAGGCACTAGGCCTAGAGCAGTGCAGACGCGCTGATGATCACCAGGCGGAAGGGCCTTGGTGAACACATCAGCCGTGTTCGCCCGAGTGGGCACGTGGGCGACACGAAGCTGACCACGCTGCTGCAACTCTCGAGCAAGGAAGTAACGCAGAGGGATGTGCTTCGTTCTGTGCTCCAGTCTGTGGTCCTGACACAAGGCAATGACAACCTTGTTGTCGACGTACAGAACTGGAGGAGAACGAGGCCTCTCTCCCAAGTCGGTCAGCAGGTAGGTGAGCCAGCGTAACTCCTGTGCAGCCATGGCTCTGGCGTAGATCTCAGCCTCACAACTGGAGCTGAGAACAGAAGACGAGCGGGTAGACCGCCAAGAAACAGAGCCAGAGCCCAGGCTGAACGTGTAACCCTGTGACGACCGCTGCGTAGCCAGGTCGTCAACCCAAGAAGTGTCTGAGTGCCCAGTGAGGACAACTGAGCTCCGCCCTCCAAGCACGAGCCCCATGCCCGATGTACTACACAAGTAGCGCAGTACCCTCTTCGCAGCATCGAAGTGCACCTTTTGGTGCCTACCAGGAGCCACGTAGCGTGCCAGAAGGCCAAGAGGGTACGCAAGGTCAGGACGAGTGCAGGTCATCAGGTACATGAGGCAGCCCACTAGCTCTGGGTACGGACCACTCGGCTCGACGGACTCGTCCGAAGGTGGAGCTGAAAGCGAGTGACCGGTAGCCAGGGGAGTGGACTGTGGCGAGGACCAAGTGAAGTTGAAGTGCTGAAGGACCTGCTGCACCATGTGTGACTTAGTCAGTGTGATGGTGCGCCGTGCTATGTCCCGGGTGATCTGCAGGCCAAGGTAGCTGTGCAGCTCACCCAGATCTGTGCACGTGTGTCTCTTCTGCAGCTCCGACTTCACAAGGGCGAGAGCCTCAGTGTGAGCAGTGGCAAAGACCAGGTCGTCGATGTACACGAGGATGTAGAACGGCGGCAGCGAAGTGTCGGTGCGCAGAAACAGCGACGGGTCAGCAGTGGAAGGTGGAAAACCAAGAGCCGCAAGTGTCGTCCTCAGTGTGTCGTGCCACTCACGAGGCGCCTGACGGAGACCGTAGACTGGCCGGCGGAGGCTCCACTGGGTACAAGGAGGGAACGACCAGTGAAGCCAGGTGGGCAGCGGCAATGTGCAGCAGCACCCGAAGAGTGGTCATCTTCAAGGTGGGGGAGAAGGTCTGGAAGAAGTCAACTCCCTGTCGCTGACTGAAGCCTTGTGCAACGTAACGAGCCTTGAAGACAGGCGGAGAACCCGGCGGCCGCTTCACCCTGAAAATCCACATGCCATCGACTACGTTCGCCCCAGGAGGGGGAACTGCGTCGACGTAAGTGCCTGTGGACTTCCAGGATGCCATCTCTGCGTCCATGGCTGTCTGCCACTGTACTCACCCGCGATCGCCTCAGCGTAAGAGCGCGGGGTCGAGATGTCTGGTGCATCCGGGTCTCCCTCAGGGGTAAGCAGCATGGCTATGAGATGAGGCGCAGCGGCTGCAAGACACTCAAAGTCCTCATGCCTGTCCTCAAGGACGTCCGTGCCAAGAGCACACTCACCCCCGACGGACGGAGGACAGACAGACTTAGACTCAGCAACAAGACTAGCAGCGAAGTCTAGACGACAGGCAGCAGCAAAGTCAACAAGCTCAGAGACTAAGGCAGACGCAGCAGCAGACTCAAACGACGGGTCAGTGACAACAGTCGCGGCTGTGCAGTACCACCAGCACTAGTACCACCAGCTCCAGCGCCTCCAGCAGCTCCAGAACCTCCAGCTCCAGCGCCTCTAGCTCCAGCGCCTCCAGCTCCAGTACCTCCAGCTCTAGCGCCTCCAGCAGCTCCAGTACCTCCAGCTCCAGCGCCTCCAGCAGCTCCAGTACCTCCAGCTCCAGCGCCTCCAGCGCCAGCGCCTCCAGCTCCAAAGCCCGCAACACCACAAACTCCGGCAGCTCCATCACCTCCAGGACCAGCACCAGCAGCTCCAGCGCCTCCAGCTGCTCCTGAACCTCCAGCTCGAGGGCCTCCAGCAGTAGCACCTCCAGCTCCAGTGACTCCAGCAGCAGCACCTCCAGCTCCAGCGCCTCCAGCAGCTCCAGAACCTCCAGCTCCAGCGCCTCCAGCAGCAGCACCTCCAGCTCCAGTGACTCCAGCAGCAGCACCTCCAGCTCCAGCTCCTCCAGTAGCTCCAGAACCTCCAGCTACCAGCGCCACCAGTAGCAGCACCCCCAGAACCGGCACCTCCAGCCCCAGGGTCCCCAACTCCAGAGTCGACAGTACCAGCTCCAGGGCCTCCAGCAGCAGCACCCCTAGAACCGGCACCTCCAGCTCCAGGGTCGACAACGCCAGGGTCGACAGCACCAGCTCCAGGGCCTCCAGCCCTAGTACCTCCAGCAGCAGCACCCCTAGAGCCGACACCTCCAGCTCCAGGAGCAGTACTAGTCTTGGCAGCTCCAGTACCTCCAGTACGAGCACCTCCAGGACCAGAGACACCAGCACTCCCAGCGCCTCCACGATAAGCAGCTCCAGTAGCACGACTCCGCAAGCCACTCTCGTGCCTACTGTGGTGAGACAGACCCGCGTCATGAAACGAGACCCAGAGGAACGCCAGCAGACTCAGCAACCCCCGACCCGGCACCCCTCGGCTAAGCACCCCCAGGCTCCGCAGCCGCAGGCTCAGCACCCCTAAGCTCCGCAATCCCCAGCACCTCACGCGCAGGCTCAGCACCCCCAGACGCAGCACCCCCAGCACCACCTCCCACAGCAGCACCTGAGTCGCTAGTGACCTCTACAGGCTCAGCCACGGGGGGCGGGCCTACCTAAGACACACCTGAAGGAGCAGGACCCTGAGGGGGGACGGGGTCTACCGGAGGGGGACCTGGAGTGAGGAAAAGCGGCGGGGGAGGGAGAGGGGCAGTGCGGTATGGGAAGAGACGGTTGAAAGGAACCGACTTGTCAAAGGTGACGTCCTGAGAGGGGAAGACACGGCGCGAGGTGGGGTGGTAAAACTGCCAGCCAGGCGCGTCAAGGTCAAAGCCAAGGAAGACACACGGAATGGTGCGGGAGGAGAGCTTGTCCGCGGACGTATCGCAGACAAGGGCACGAGCAACCCAGACCCGGAAACGCGACGCATCGCCAACCTCCCCCGTCCACCGCAGTGTGGGCGAGGTCTCCGGCAAGGAGACACAAACGGACCGCAAACGGCCACAGAAAATGAGGAGCCGCCACATGGATCAAGGAGGTACGAGCGACCTCCATAACTAAGCCAATGCGGCGCTCAGCAACCCCATTTTGCTGCGGTGAGCCCGGAAGCGTGAACAACTGCTCGATGCCCTCCCCCACACAGAAGGCCCGCAAGAGGTCGGAGGTGAACTCACCACCTCTGTCAGAGTGCAGACGCAGGACAGGAAGGTCCTAGCGGAATCCGCGGCGAAGCTGGAGACGAACTGCTCGGATCTAAGGGATTAGGACAGCAGGGACCTCACCCTTGGTGCGCAAGGGGAAGACTGTGGTGTAACGCGAGTAGTCGTCGACAACCAGCAGAAAGTACCGCTCACCGCCCTGTCCACGAACGCGGGCTGGGCCCCACACGTCCAGGTGGAGGGTCTGCAGAGGAGCCTCTATCGGGGGAAACGAGGAGGAGTGAGGAGCGGCGCGCTGCCGCCCCT